CACGAGAATTTTTGGATTCTGTGTTAGCACCCCCCCCACCTTTACAATGGTAGCATAGGTGCACTCGAACAATCATTCATAAAAACGCATAAAACTTTAGTTTACAAAGACGTGAAACTCACCAAGTGGTCTGGGGTGTTCACTGATATGCTCACACAAAAATCACTGCAAAAGATGCTTTCCAACAGGTTTTATCATAGTTTTTGTCCGACTTCATTTTCTTCCTGTTTTCGGTCGAAGTCCACAGTAATAAATTGTCGAGTTCACGTGCGCGATCGTTGGTAGCTAGATAACTAAGGACCGCGCACGCAAACTCGATAATCAACTACTGCGGACTTCGACCAAAAACAGGAAGAAAATGGACTTGGACAAAAACTACGGTAAAACCTGTTGGAAAGCATATTTTGCAGCAATTTTTGTGTGAGCTTATCAGTGAACACCCAAGACCACTCGGTGAGTTTCACGTCTTTGTAAACTAAAGTTTTATGCGTTTTAATGAATGATTGTTGGAGTGCACCTATGCTTTCATTATAAAGGTGGGGGGGTGCTAACACAGAATTCAAAAATTATCGTGACAGGAGCATTTGTCTAAAAAACAATCTTAACCATTCTACACTCACCGGCCACTTTATTAGGTACACCTGTCCAACTGCTCGTTAACACTTAATTTCTAAGCAGCCAATCACATGGCGGCAACTCAGTGCATTTAGGCATGTAGACATGGTCAAGACAATCTCCTGCAGTTCAAACCGAGCATCAGTATGGGGAAGAAAGGTGATTTGAGTGACTTTGAACGTGGCATGATTGTTGGTGCCAGAAGGGCTGGTCTGAGTATTTCAGAAACTGCTAATCTACTGGGATTTTCACGCACAACCATCTCTAGGGTTTACAGAGAATGGTCCGTAAAAGAAAAAACATCCAGTGAGCGGCAGTTCTGTGGGCGGAAATGCCTTGTTGATGCCAGAGGTCAGAGGAGAATGGCCAGACTGGTTCGAGCTGATAGAAGGGCAACAGTGACTCAAATAACCACCCGTTACAACCAAGGTGGGCAGAAGAGCATCTCTGAACGCACAGTACGTCGAACTTTGAGGCAGATGGGCTACAGCAGCAGAAGACCACACCGGGTGCCACTCCTTTCAGCTAAGAACAGGAAACTGAGGCTACAATTTGCACAAGCTCATCGAAATTGGACAATAGAAGATTGGAAAAACGTTGCCTGGTCTGATGAGTCTCGATTTCTGCTGCGACATTCGAATGGTAGGGTCAGAATTTGGCGTCTACAACATGAAAGCATGGATCCATCCTGCCTTGTATCAACGGTTCAGGCTGGTGGTGGTGGTGTCATGGTGTGGGGAATATTTTCTTGGCACTCTTTGGGCCCCTTGGTACCAATTGAGCATCGTTGCAACGCCACAGCCTACCTGAGTATTGTTGCTGACCAGGTCCATCCCTTTATGACCACAATGTACCCAACTTCTGATGGCTACTTTCAGCAGGATAATGCGCCATGTCATAAAGCTGGAATCATCTCAGACTGGTTTCTTGAACATGACAATGAGTTTGCTGTACTCAAATGGCCTCCACAGTCACCAGATCTCAATCCAATAGAGCATCTTTGGGATGTGGTGGAACGGGAGATTCGCATCATGGATGTGCAGCCGACAAATCTGCGGCAACTGTGTGATGCCATCATGTCAATATGGACCAAACTCCCTGAGGAATGCTTCCAGCACCTTGTTGAATCTATGCCACGAAGAATTGAGGCAGTTCTGAAGGCAAAAGGGGGTCCAACCCGTTACTAGCATGGGGTACCTAATAAAGTGGCCGGTGAGTGTATTTCATCAGGGACGATCTTAAAACAGGGCTTTAATTGTAAAATACCGAACTTGTCCTTTAAGTCATGTTTAGTTGTTTAGTCAAAGATGTTTAGTCAAACTCTAAACAGGTTTGAGGTAAGGGGCGCTGTGATGGCAACTGCTGCCTAACAACCAATCACTGCAGATCTAGACTCCGGCAGATCAAGTGTAAAAACGATCTTTAGGCAGCGCTCTCTGGCAGCCTAATCCAAACGCCATGAAAAAGACAATTGCATATTATATAGATTTAGAAATGATTAATTTTATATTTAGAAAACAAAATAGGTACAATAGTCTGGAAACATCAATATTTTTCCATACTCTTAATTAATTTTTCCATACTTTTCCAGACCTGGAAATTACTCAAATCAAATTCCATATTTTCCATACTTTTCCAAACTGCATAGGAATCCTGTTTGTCCAAATTCCAGCTTTGCCTGTTTGCATGGAGGATTCAAGGAACCTTGCCCAGGATCAGATGTGCTAGGGTGTGTAGTCATCTCAGGCCAGCTAGCTTCTTTGGCCAAATGATGTGGATGCTTCCTCTGAAAAACAAAATTTAAAAAGTAGTTGTAGGCTTTTTAATTTGTATGCTTGTGCTTAAGGATTGTAAAGAAAGAAAGAAAGAAAGAGAAGGGTAAATGTAAATAAATTTAATTAGTCAATTTTAAATATTTAAAAAAAAAATTAAATCTTTTGAATAGCTCTCAACAAAGATATTTGTAAAAATCAGATAAATTCTTTATTGCAATATTATTATCATTATTGTAGTTATCCTTACAGCTTAAAAATATAAAAGTGACATCAGATCATAACAAAACTGAACAAGCTCAGATCAAACATTTCTGTTCATGTTTCTTCTGCTTTAATTTTATGTTTAGCATGTTGGGTTAGATTTAAACCCCATTAAAACAAAGCAATCATCTCTCATTTCCACAACTTGGGAACACACAACCCTGAATATCTATTTAAATGGCTATACAGACATCTAGTGGCTACAGTACGTATTACAGATTATTTAGTTCTATTTTTAACTAACATATAGGCTACAAGTAAATAATAAAAACCCACCATTTAAAAATTCTACACAATCTACGTTACAAATTAGTTTATTTTAAAATAGGCCTACATGTTGACTAAAGCCGTGATCTTTCTTAATTTGCCTGACTGAACTTGAGCCTTTGGCAGTTTGAGTTCCCCTATGTTGTTAGCCTACCTAGCAGCAAACATCGCGTTAAGTAGAAGAGATTATCAAAGGACATTTTAGGTAATAAAAAAGCTACTCTCCTAATTTCTACAGATTCCAGCATCACTAGAAAACTTAAAGCAGTAATAAACACAACATACTAGCTAAAATGATTTCTATGCTAGTCTTACCTGCAAATGCTTCTTTAGGTTGGATGTCGAGTCCTTCGATAAAGAAAGCGTTTTCATTGCTGGAAGGCACAGTTTGCACTGTACAACCATGTTGTTGGCATTTTCTTCTTTAAAAACAAAAAAGCAGCGGAATTTCCAAGAAGTGAAAGCATTTTTACCCGTGGGCAGCATCGTTTCTAGCAGCAGTAATTCTGAGGAGATTAATTTGTACAGAGCTGTTATTTTGCGCATGCACCAGCTGATGGCACACGTCACATTATGCCAAAATACAGATTTATTTAGTTTTAAATGGAACCATTGTAATCCTGAAAGTATTCCCCCTTTTTTCAAAAAGTAACTAATCTGATTACTACGTTTTTTTACGTAACTGTAACGGATTACAGTTACTGGATTTTTGTATCCTGATTACATACGTCGTTACATGTATTCTCTTACTCCCCAACCCTGAGAAGCAGTAGGTAAGTCCTTTAGCTGGAATTCTGTAGAGTCACACTGGAACCGATGAGTAGCAGCAAGAATCTGGGAATAACAGAGAGAAAGTTAGCAGGTCGTTTCCTAGTTCAAGGTTCGACAGAGACTGAATGAGAAGTGTGCTCTTTTGTAGTGCCCAGTGGTGCTGGATTAGATGACAGGTGCAGGTGGTTAATATTCAGGTGATTGTGATCCTTGTGCAGTGGGTGTGACTGAACCTGATTAATCCCCGACAAATGCAATATCTTTTTTTTTTTTTGGATGGGAAAAGATGGGAAAGTTGTATTAATTTTTGTTTACTTGTGTTAATTTAATTTATTTTTATTAAGAGCATTTAAAGTTCTTCTTAATGATATTTTATTTATTACACACAAGTTAATTTATTAATTTTTGTAACCCATCAGCCCTCTGTGTCTAAATAAAGTAAAGTCCCAGAGTTAAAAAATGTGTAAAACTAGCCTGTGCGACTTGGTATGACTTGATAACCAAATTGCGACTTGACTTGACAAAGAGTATGACTTGACTTGACCCTTACAACAGAATGACTGACTTGACTTTGACTTGCAATGTTAAGACTTGGACTTGACTTGAGACTTGCATTTAGTGACTTACTCCCAACTCTACTTTTTTGTGACAGCACGCGGCGCCGCATCCGAGGATGAATGACTTCAAACCGAATATGTCCGAGCTTGCTCTGACCGTCGCAATACTGTCGTCATTATGTTAACCCCGTCCGCTGACTGTATACACGATGTGATGGTTCTGTGCTGATTTGGGTTTTTCCAGCAAAAACGTCTATGGAGAGTTGCTAGACTACACTGGCAGTGAAATGACTTTTGCTGCCGCTAGGGTGCATCCAGATTTCTAGGCTAGAGTTTGCTGGCAATACAGTAAATGTTCTCACTGAAATATGACTGAATCTATAGTTGACCTTTATAAGTAATCTGTAATCTGTTAACAGTAAAATGTGGCATAAATAATGTAATGTAGAATGCTGTAGTTGATGCTATCTGTCTCTTATGTTGCATCTCTGATCTGATATTATTGACCGTACACACACACACACACACACACACACGCACACGCACACACAGAGAGAGAGAAAACATAGTCGTTATAATCTAAGATAAATTGCCTGTAATGTAAAAATAATTCATTACATCTAGTTAGAAAAAGTGCAGTCTATTAGTACTAAGAGTTTTGAAAATGTAACGCTTGCTTTTGAAAATTGCGGCAAATCAGTTAAACATTAACTGTAATGGATCAATTATTCACATTAACACTGTTTGGTCTCAGCTGTCCCGGCAGAGGTTTCAGTGAAAGGATACCAACAAATCTGTGACACTTCCTCTAATCATGGTGCACACCAGATGCGTGAGTCTGCTACAAGTGGTGAGAATTATTTATATATATATATATAACAAAACTTTGACTAAATACACATCTTTTTTAGATTATTATTTACATTAGATATTTAAAAGGCTTTTATTAAGCAACAATGAGAATTATAATTAGCCCTCTTTCACACAGTTGACTCTTTTAAGTCATCCTGCACATCATCTGGAGAATGCTATGAGAACACAGGCACAAACGCACAGGAATTCTGCTCACTTGAGTCTGCTGAATTTTATGAAAATACTGGGGAAAACAGAGACAGTCTACAAACTGCAGGTATTAAATGTTCCCCGGATTTTCATACTTTCTAGAAAATCTATTAAATACATAGAAATGATGAAAAATTAAGCAATAATATATAAGCAAGTGTACAACCGAATGCTGAGTGCTGTTGTTTTGCAGGTGAATTCACAGCCGTGTCTGATTTATAGTGGTTATCATCTAAGATAAATCGCTTATAATGTTAAAAGAAAAATAATCATTGGTTATCTGTATCAGAAATTGAAACAAGTTCTACAGATACTATGTCTTTACCAATTATTAATTATTAAAATTGAAGATCAGTTTACTTTAGATGCATTAACGGAACGAGAAGAGATGCAATTGAAAAGTTTGATAGTAAGAGCTTTATGAAAGGTGGTTCATAAATCAAATCAAGCATTATATATATATATATATATATATATATATATCATCTAAAGGATTATTAGGAACACCATACTAATACTGTGTTTGACCCCCTTTCGCCTTCAGAACTGCCTTAAAGGGGTGATGAACTGAGAAATCAAATTTTCCTTGAGCTTGACATCTAAGAGGTCATCATATTATAAGAATATTGTAGCAAGGTTCAGGGAAGAAGGAGGCAGGTACCGGATGACAATCAAAAATAAAACTTTATTTAAATGAAATAAACAAATTACCTGCCAGCAGTCCCTCACGGAACTGCTGGCAAAATAAAATATAAAACACAAACAAAAGCAGGCCTGTTCCTCTTTCGATTATCCACTCCGTAGTTCCCCCTTTATGGCTCCGCTCCTCCGTGAATGATGCGAGACCAGTGTGCTTCACAGGTGCTGCTCACACATAGCTAAATAACATAGGCGTACCTTGTGATGACAAACCGGATCGAGCTACCGAGCACTACAAAATATTGTGCTGTGCCTGGTTGTGGAAGGGAGACATTGGCTGCATATGCCTCCTCTGGATTCGAATAGGACTGCGTGGTTAAACTTTTGACGTTTCACTCCAGCTGATGAGGGCAAAACTGTCTGTTAGTTTCATTTCACTGAGGATTGTTTTGTAAACAAGAGTGGATTTGCAGACCGATTTATAGTAAAGAACCGGGCTGTGCCGTCTATATTGGATCTGACAGGAATTGTGCAACACATGGACTCTGGGTTGAATAATTCCGGTTGCCATTTTACAACAGTGGACGTTTTCGAAACAATTTCACCCTAGTGCATCGACAGCTGAGTTGAAACTCATTATAATATGGAAAATTGTTATCCACTCACAGCAGTGGGCGTTTACTTTAAAGTCTTCAGTGCGAGACGCCCATAAAAACCAGGCGTTTTTCAGGTAGGCTAAAAACTAGGGTACAAAACAGCCTATTACTTATTTATTTTGATGTTTTTGGATGCAAAAACAGAGAGAACATCATAAGTTGACCTCAGACAACAATATAATAAAATTTAAAAAGGCAGTTCATGACCCCTTTAATTCTATGTGGCATTGATTCAACAATGCAACCTCAACCTCATATACAACCTCAGTTGTAACGAGTTGTTATTTCAGTTGCTCTTCTATCAGCTTGAATCAGTCGACCCATTCTCCTCTGACCGCTAGCATCAACAAGGCATTTTCGCCCACAGGACTGCCGCATACTGGATCTTTTTCCCTTTTCACACCATTCTTTGTAAACCGTAGAAATGGTTGTTCGTGAAAATCCCAGTAAGTGAGCAGATTGTGAAATACTCAGACCGGCCTGCCTGGCACCAACAACCATGCCACGCTCAAAATTGACTGAAACCTTTCTTTCCCATTCTGACATTCAGTTTGGAGTTCAGGAGATTGTCTTGACCAGGGGCCTGTACCACGATGGTAGTTGAACAAACTCAAGGTTGCAGGATTAGTTTTGAGTTGAGAAAACCAAACCAATCCAACGAGGCTTTGTTGGTACCATGATGCTGATCATCAACTTTCTCTGTCAACTCAGGCTTTGATCCTGAGTTGAGTATAGGTGTGACATCAGTAGCGAACAGCCAATCACATGCTGAGAAAAAGTGAAACTCATTCAAAACTCATTGAAATTAATTTCTTGCGAGAGAAGTAGCGCAATTCACTTATTAAATAAAAGTATTAAAATATTAAGAATTTAAACAAATTTACACAGCAAGAAGAAAATAGCTGTCTGTAAAAGAGGACAACTAAAAGAAAGTCTCCCTACTGTATATCAGTGCGAGTAAAAGTTGTGAAGTTTATACAGTTGATAAAGGTATAGAGAGAATTAAACATTTAAGCTCACATGTAGTCATTTTATAGCTTCATTTATTACTACCTTTATATACGTATTCATTTAAAATCTGCGTAATAATAATTGATTAACTAAAATTGTACATGTGAGATCATTTTAGGGTAGAATAATTACAGAAATCATTTCTAAATCATACAAATTTATTTAGTAAAAACAATGATTTTGTCTTTTAAAATTAAATGCCGTGGAGTGACTTTATCGCATCATACAGTACATGTGTCACTTTGCTCACAGCTGAATGGTCGTTTTGCAACCTCTTACATGACCTGCCCCGGACCAGGTTAGCCATGGAGCGCAAGTTACTATGACGATGAACACAGATAAAAGCCAAACCACTTTCATGGTCCCTAAACCCAGGGTTGGTACAAACTAAACTGAAACATAGCCACTTAAACCGACACTTATTTTGTGTAGTGAACACTTAAGTACCTACACTTCTTTACAGCCAACGATGGCAGATTATTTAGGTGGGGTAAATAAGATCTAAACAAACTAAAATTGAATAAAAAGAGCACAATTTTGTTGTTACAATGTTTCATTATTTTTTGTTTGTTTGTTTGTTTATTTGGGAAAAGAGCAAACTTGCAAATGAGAATAGAGACCTAAGTTCCTGCAGGACTGTAGATATTCTAATTGCTGTGCAAATTATGATAATGTAGATTTACCGAAGCAGGAATCCGGAAAGTCTTTGCTGGGCCACACCATGGATCCTCCCTTCAATTACCAAGGTGTGTATCTAACACCAACATATAATCTACATTTAAAGGGTTAGTTCACCCAAAAATGAAAATTAAGTCATTAATTACTCACCCCCATGCTGTACCAACCCCGTAAGACCTTCGTTCGTCTTCGGAGCACAAATGAAGATATTTTTTATTAAATTTGAGAGCCGAATCACTACCACATAGGCTCCTAAGGGAATGACACTTGACGGCCCAGAAAGTCGATGAAGAAAATGTTTAAATATTCCATGTGACTACAGTGGCTCAACTATAAGTTTATCAAGTGACGAGAATACTTTTTTGTGCGAAAAAACAACCAAAAATAACGACTTTATTCGACTATTCCTTTTCTTCCTTGTTGGCCTGAAACGAGACTTCAAGAGATTTCCACGACGCATGCGCGAGAACGAATCGGTTACCTAACGTAACCTCGGTTCTCTCTAGATGAGGGAACGAGTATTGCGTAAGCTAGCTTACGCTACGGGAAAGATTCATCTTTGCTGAGAAGTTGAAGCCAAAAAATTATTCCATAATTTTGTAATCATTGTCAACGCAGTCTCTTCTGAGGCAGACCATGAGCGGGCTAGCTAGCGGCTCATTGGTTCGCTCAGAGAGAATGCACGAACCTATGGGAGAGCGGCGCTGAGTCCGCGGCCAATGAGCGGACGGCGCTCGCTCACTGCGTCACAGCCCGCCAAAAGGGGCGTGGCTTCAGTGTATAAAGGTCGCTCTCCCAGCTCGTTCGTTGATTCTGTAGCATGAAGCGAAACGCTAGTGGCGCAAGCACGGCCGGGAACGCAATACTCGTTCCCTCATCTAGAAAGAACCGAGGTTACGTTAGGTAACCGATTCGTTCTCTTACGAGAGGTTCTCTCGTATTGCGTAAGCTAGCTTACGCTACGGGAACACCTGGTCAACGCCGTGCGCGCTAAGTAACCACTAAGCATCCCAGGGGGAAACACCGGGGGAATCTTTAAGTGGAAGAAGATAATAAGGCGGCCAGCATAGCGGCCGTTATCATCTAGTGCAAAAACGCCCAAAGGCGGCCGGCGAAGCGGGTCGTGATGTGTAGGCTAATGCATAAGCACATAGGGGAACACAAGGGGTGAGCCGGTTGTGATGGAACTCCCGATAGTGCGGCTTCTATAGGAGAGCTGTGAGTACTAGACCGCCAGAATTTTAGCCTGTAAGGCTGGAACTTCCAAGTTATAAAATCTGACAAAAGTGGAGGGGGAGGCCCATCCCGCAGCCACACAAATGTCGTGAATGGAAATCCCGCAGGACCATGCCCACGATGAGGCCATGCCTCTGGTGGAATGAGCCCTGATGCCCAGAGGGCAAGGCAGGTCTTTAGCGGCATAAGCAGAGGCAATCACGTCTACTATCCACCTGGATAGGGTCTGTTTCGAGGCGGCTAGTCCCTTGGTGCGGCCACCGAACGACTCAAACAGCTGCTCCGAGCGTCTGAACGCGGCAACGTGTGTAGTGTACACTCTGAGAGCCCGAACCGGGCAGAGGCGGTCAGCGTCACGTTCGCTATCGGATGCAGGCAGCGCTGATAGAGTGATCACTTGCGCCCTGAAAGGGGTACCAATCGCTTTTGGAACATAACCGTGTCTAGGTTTTAGAATGACTATGGAATCATTCGGTCCAAACTCTAGGCACGCGGCGCTCGAAGACAGCGCGTGAATGTCCCCCACACGTTTTACTGAGGCGAGTGCCGTCAGAAGAACGGTTTTTAACGAGAGGTATTTAAGCTCCACGGACTCAAGTGGTTCAAACGGTGGGGCTTTCAGAGCTTCTAGAACTATAGAAAGATCCCAGACCGGCACCGTAGGGGGGCGAGGGGGGTTCATCCTTCTGGCTCCCCTGAGGAAGCGGATGATTAGCTCGTCTTTGCCCAGAGACTGGGCGCGCCGGGGTTCAACGAATGCCGCGACGGCTGCCACGTAAACCTTAAGAGTGGATGGGGACCTGCCCTTATCCAGCATCTCCTGAAGGAACACTAGCAAAGACGAAACCTCGCACGTCCGTGGGTCCAAATTTTTGTAGGTGCACCATTTGGAGAACACAGACCATTTTGCAGCATAGAGCTTTCTGGTAGAATCCGCTCTGGCGTGTTTGATCGTGTTCAGAACCCCTTCTGGCAATTCGACGCGTAGTCGTTGGTCACCCATGCATGAAGCGCCCAGCGCTGTGGATGGGGATGCCAGATCGAGCCGCGGGCTTGAGTGAGGAGATCTGCTCTGATTGGAATGGGCCACGGGGCTGTCTGTGACAGCCGCGTTAGCTCCGGGAACCAAATCTGATTCTCCCAGCGCGGGGCTATGAGGAGCACCGAGTGGCGTGAGTCCCTGATTCTCTGAATGACCTGCGGTAGCAGAGAAATCGGGGGAAAAGCATAGAGCGGGCGGCGGGGCCAATCCTGGGCTAGCGCGTCCTCGCTCTTTGAAAAGAATATTGGGCAGTGAGCGTTCTCTTCTGACGCGAAAAGGTCTATCTCCGCTCTGCCGAATAGGCGCCACAGCGTTTGGACTGTTTGAGAGTGCAGGGACCATTCTCCGGGGGAGACCAGGTTCCTGGACAGCCTGTCTGGACCGTCGTTCAGATGGCCCGGTACGTGCGTCGCTCTGAGCGAGAGCAGGTGACTCTGGGACCACAATAGGATGCAGCGTGTCAGATGAAAGAGATTCTTGGATCTGACGCCGCCCTGACGGTTGATGTAAGATACCACGGCCTTATTGTCGGAGCGAATCAGGACGTGGTGACCGTGTATGCGCGGGAGGAAACACAGCAGCGCATTCTCGACCACGATCATTTCCAGACAGTTTATGTGTAGGGAACTCTCGTGGCTCGACCACTGGCCGGCGGCCGGTGAGCCCTCGCAAACCGCTCCCCAACCCGAGTTGGATGCGTCCGTCGAGATAACTTTCCGGCGAGAAAAAGTCCCCATGGTAACGCCCCTCTGAAACCACTCGATTACTGACCATGGCTGCAGTGCAGTGATACATGTCTGAGTAATCTTGATCATCTGGCGGCCCGTCGTCCACTCGTGGTGGGATACGCGGCTCTTTAACCAGAGTTGAAGGGGGCGCATGTGCAGAAGACCCAGCTGTAGCACAGCGGAGGCTGAAGCCATATGACCCAGCATCCTCTGAAGCGATTTCAGGGATGTATGGGTACCCATCTGAAACGAGGCGGCTAGGCGCTGAACACGGCGCGCGCGCTGTGTGGATAAGCGAGCCGTCATAGTGGTAGAGTTCAAATCTATTCCAAGGAACGAAATAGTTTGACTGGGCTGGAGAGAGCTCTTTGTCCAGTTGACAGAGAGTCCCAGCGCTTCCAGATGGTTGAGGAGAACTGTGCGGTGCGACAGAAGCTCCGTCTGGGAATCTGCTAGAATCAGCCAATCGTCCAGATAATTCAGTATGCGCAGCCCCTGACTTCGCAGGGGGGCGAGCGCTGTATCCATGCACTTCGTGAACGTACGGGGTGCTAAGGATAGGCCGAACGGGAGAACGGCATACTGGTAAACTTGGCCCTCGAAGGCGAAACGTAGGAATGGCCTGTGATGAGGGTTTATCTGGATCTGAAAATAGGCGTCTTTCAGGTCTAGAGAGATGAACCAGTCCCCCTGGCGGACGTGCGCGAGGAGTTTCCTGACTGTGAGCATTTTGAACGGTCTCTTCATGAGCGCTTTGTTCAAAGCCCTGAGATCTAAGATCGGCCTGAGGCCGCGTCTTTCTTGGGAACCAGAAAATAACGGCCGTAAAACCCCGACTCGGTCATATATGGCGGGACTCTCTCTATAGCGCCCTTCTGCAGTAGCTTGGCTATTTCTAAGCGAAGCGTGTTCATAGCAGCCGGGCTGACAGTGGATTCGAGCCGCACGCGCGAGCGTGGCGGGCGGCGACGAAACTGTAATCGATAACCATTCTTTATTATGCTTAAAACCCACGGGGAGATGCCGGGGATGGCTTCCCACGCTTCGTAGCATGCGGCTAGCGGTTGAATGGCGATTTCGCCCTGATTGCTGCACATAGCGGGCTGGACACTGGGTGTGGGCACGCTTATAATGTGGATGGCAACGGGACTTACACTCAGAGAGGAGTTTATGGGCCGTGTGACAGAGCGGGCAGAGGGGGGACACGCACACGGGCTCGTGGGCGTGCTTATGTTCTCTGCTACTGGAGCGGATAGTGCACGCTCCGTGAGAATGGGCTCTGTGAGAGACCCTGGGCATAAGGTGCTTGTGTGTGTACGTGAGCACATGCTTGTGGGCACATTTTTTACACTTGAGGCTTTTATGCTCTTTTTGTGAACTCTCTGGGTAGCCGTGAAAACGGCTTTTAGTCGCTCGCAAGCGGGCAGGGAAACCGGCTTGTTTGTGGCGGTAAACACTACTGCAGTCAGCGGTGAGACGGGGACTAACAGTGGGCGAAGCTTTGACGGCGGTCCGGCCGCGGCAGGAGAAAGCCGTCTTTTTCTCAGCTGTGCTAGGCAGACTTCTGTTGATCGGGCTTCAGCGCGATCTTGGGTCGAGGCCCCCGGGGAGGACGCTGTCTGCGGCGGCTGTCTGAGCGAGAGCGAGGGCGGCCGCCCTGTCTACGCTGGGGCTGCTGAGCTTGCTGAGGCGGGCGCTGCTGTGGGGTTCTGGCAGGCGGCTCGTGAGAGCGGCCCGTCGAAGAGCTAGAGCGGCGGGGCAGGAACAAGTTCATGGCCTGAGTCGCTTTCTGTACCTCGGAGAAGCGGTCAACGATGCCCGTGACGGCAGATCCGAAGAGCCCGGTAGGAGATATAGGCGCGTTGAGGAACACGGCGCGTTCTGACTCTCCCATATCGGTAAGCGTGAGCCATAAGTGTCTCTCAGCGACACAGAGGGCGGCCATGCATTTTCCCAGGGCTTGTGCGGCGGCTTTTGTGGCGCGAAGGGAAAGATCCGTCGCGCTCCTCAAATCCGAAAGGCTGGGCGGGTTCCTCCCGCTGCTCGCCATTTCGCACAAGATGTCGCTCTGGAGCACCTGGAGGACAGACATAGAATGCAGCGCTGAAGTGGCCTGACCGGCGGCGGAATAGGCGCGGGCATGGAAGTTAGAGGTCGCTCTGCACACTTTAGAGGGAAGCGTATGAGAAGAACGCCATCTAGCAGAGGGCGGGCAGAGATGAGCGGCGACCGAGTCCTCGACGGGCGGCATGGCAGTATAACCCTTCTCGGCAGCTCCGTCCACTGAGCGCAGCGAGGCGGACACATCGGAGCGATTACGAGCCGAAAGAGGAGCATTCCAGGATTTCGTGAGCTCGTTGTGAAGCTCAGGCAGGAATGGGGCAGCCCGGCTGCAGGCGGGGGCTGGGCGCCGGTGCAGGAACTTCCCATCCATGCGGTTCGGTGGTTGCTCAGGGGGAGGAGACCACTCGAGACCCAGGCGGCTAACGGCCTGTGAAAGGAGGCACGTTAGTTCCTCTTCGATGCCGGCGCGGGTCCCTGCAGACTCTCTCGTCGATGAGCCGATCGACGACCAATCCTCGCTGTCAGAAGCGTGCAGCGAACAAGAGTCCTTCTCATCCGCGGTGTCATCGGAGGCGACAGAGCGGCCACTCGGCGGCAACTGTAAGTCCGGCAGGGGCGGAGAGGGAGAGCGGTCGGTGGGCGGCGGCGGCGGCCCACATGGATCCGCAGGGGGCTCCGGCGGCCTCTGGGAGCGGCTTTTTTTCTTCCGCGGCGAAGTGAGAGGCGGCGCTGGAGCGGTTTTGACCACCTGTAGTCGAGCCCGCAGGGATGACAGAGGCAGGTCCTCGCAGTGGTCGCATCCTCCGTTGGCGAGGGCGAGCTCTGCGTGATCCACTCCGAGACAGAGAACGCAGATAGGGTGGCGGTCTCCTTCCTCGAGTGAAGAGCGGCATGAGCCGCAGGAAATTCGAGGCATCTTGAAAAAGACGCTCGTGCTGTTTTAGGAATAATATGGAATAAAGGATACGCGTCGGATGGCGCTAGCTTGCTGGGCGGCTGAAGGTGGCAGACGGCCGGCTTCCTCAGACTCCGGAGCTCGCTAGAAGGTGCCTTCTCGACGACGGACAGCGGATGCGTGTAGCTCGCTGAATGAAAAAGAATCAACGAACGAGCTGGGAGAGCGACCTTTATACACTGAAGCCACGCCCCTTTTGGCGGGCTGTGACGCAGTGAGCGAGCGCCGTCCGCTCATTGGCCGCGGACTCAGCGCCGCTCTCCCATAGGTTCGTGCATTCTCTCTGAGCGAACCAATGAGCCGCTAGCTAGCCCGCTCATGGTCTGCCTCAGAAGAGACTGCGTTGACAATGATTACAAAATTATGGAATAATTTTTTGGCTTCAACTTCTCAGCAAAGATGAATCTTTCCCGTAGCGTAAGCTAGCTTACGCAATACTCGTTCCCTCATCTAGAGAGAACCGAGGTTACGTTAGGTAACCGATTCGTTCTCGCGCATGCGTCGTGGAAATCTCTTGAAGTCTCGTTTCAGGCCAACAAGGAAGAAAAGGAATAGTCGAATAAAGTCGTTATTTTTGGTTGTTTTTTCGCACAAAAAGTATTCTCGTCACTTGATAAACTTATAGTTGAGCCACTGTAGTCACATGGAATATTTAAACATTTTCTTCATTGACTTTCTGGGCCGTCAAGTGTCATTCCCTTAGGAGCCTATGTGGTAGTGATTCGGCTCTCAAATTTAATAAAAATGATCTTCATTTGTGCTCTGAAGACGAACAAAGGTCTTACGGGGTTGGTGCAGCATGGGGGTGAGTAATTAATTACTTAATTTTCATTTTTTCGGTGAACTAACCCTTTAAAAGTCAAGTCACCTTTATAGCGCTTTAATACAAATGGTTTCAAACTAGCTTAACAGTGATAACAGAAAAATTCTGTTAGAAAAATTCAGTTCAGTGTTGATTTAGTTTACAATTATCAATAATTAAATGAGTTCATTTCATCTATAAAGCAGTTCTGCAAAAAAATATCATCATCGATTATCATTGTCATCATCCAGCAAAGTTCAGTTCTCATACAACAGCATCTGTACAGCCAGATCAATGATGTTGTTGAAAATAAAGTGTCCCCAAATTTATGTTTTAGTTATTTGTAGAGATGTTATCACTTCTTTAGGATTTAAGTGCATTAAGTTAATGTTCCATACTGTTTGCAATATACAAACCTCTTGACCAGTTTGTTTTTGGTGATATTTGGACCGATTTTTTCATATGAAAAATATGTAATTTCTATTTTCTTTTTCTTTTGTTTTTTTATCAAAACTAGATAAAGGGGGCAGCGGCAGAGAGGACTCCCCGTTGTACTCACCCATCACCTATAATAATGAGTCCATCTCTCCTGAAAGCGACTATGATGACATTGGCAACTATATACAACAACCTAACTACTTAAATTAGCTGGAGATTGTGATATTGTGGCCACATTAGTACAGTACCATTAGACACCATATCTGAGAACTATTTTATGCCATTATTCTTTCAGACCTTTCCATGTTTTTAATGTTATTTCTTTGTACATTCATGTCTGCTTCTACATAGTATAATCAAAAGGTATGCTAAATATTTCATCAAGTTTTGATATCACTGCAGATATATTGACGGCATACCAGTGTAAAAAGTAAATTTACATATAGCCTAAGTGCTTTTACTCCAAATGCAAATATAACCACAATCACTGAGGGGGACATGATCCCCCTAATAATGAGATATGACCATTTCAAGCAAGATGCTCTAAAGATTATAGAAGCATTATCTGAGACTTAAGCTGGTATCCGTAACTGAAAGCACCCTGCCAGTGCTTGCTGTATTGATGGCTGCAGCAGACTACATTAAAATTTTAAATACACACAAAAAAATGTTTCACTTACTACTGTCACGGTGCAGGTGCAGGCAGAAAGACAGGCTGAGTCAAAAAGGCTTCAATACAAAAGGTTTACTAATTATAAAGTTCAGATACAGGCAGGAAGACTGGGTAACACCACGTAACATTAAACATCGACCGACAAGGACAGACTGAATGGGAAGGAACTAAATACACACAGGAATCAAACTAAACGAGGTGAAAACAGGTGAAACAGATGAATACAGGACGCTGAACGGGAGGCTGATGAGGGAGTGAGTTCAGGTGTGGAGACAAGAGGATCCTGGGAAGTGTAGTGCTGGAGACGCAGACAGGATGGTGCAGACGAAGACTGTGACAGAACTCCCCCCTCCCGGGAGGCGTGACCTCACGCCGCATAACAGAGGAAGGAGGGGGGACGAACTGGGGGCTGGGCGGGGCGTGGCCAGGGCGGAGCAGGCTGAGGGCGTGGCCAGGGCGGAGCAGGCTGAGGGCGTGGCCAGGGTGGAGCAGGCTGAGGGCGAGACCAGGGCGGAGCAGGCTGAGGGCGTGGCCAGGGCGGAGCAGGCTGAGGGCGTCCCAGGGCGGAGCAGGCTGAGGGCGTCCCAGGGCGGAGCAGGCTGAGGGCGTCCCCAGGGCAAAGCAGGCTGAGGGCGTGGCCAGGGCGGAGCAGGCTGAGGGCGTGGCCAGGGCGGAGCAGGCTGAGGGCGAGACCAGGGCGGAGCAGGCTGAGGGTGAGACCAGGGCGGAGCAGGCTGAGGGTGAGACCAGGGCGGAGCAGGCTGAGGGCGAGACCAGGGCGGAGCATGATGAGGGCGAGACCAGGGCGGAGCATGATGAGGGCGAGACCAGGGCGGAGCAGCTAAAGGGAGGACCCCTGGTGGAGCCGATGGTAGTGGGGCTGGCAACACCAGGGGGCCGACTGACAGGGGCGGAGCGGATGGGAGCGGAGACCAGGGTGTAGCTGAGGGACCGACGATGATGGGTGCTGAGGAGGGACCGAGGGAGCAAGGGGACACCGCAGGCTCTGGTGACCGAAGTGCTGACAGGGGCACAGAGGGACACGGTGAGGTCAGAGTGCGTGAGGGCTGACGGGTGACTGGAGGGAGTGAGGAGTCCAACTGAACCGGGGGGGTGACATGACGGGGCGGAGCCAAGGGAAGGAAGTCCAAAGGTGAAGGGAGGATGACGAGGGAGTGCAGGGAGTTCGGAGGGACGAGGGAGCCTGGCCGAGCTGGTGGACTGTGGGACCATGGAGGAGCTGAGGGAGGTAGCAGCCACGGGGGATCCGATGGGACCGGGGGCCGAGGAAGTGTCCAGATAGAGGAGGTGTGAAGCGAAGGCCGGGGATCCAACGACCCAGCTGGGTCAGGGGAGCTGGCAGACGGAGGGGCTGACGGATGCATGACAAAAGGAGGTGGGAGAGGGAGGCTGGGTGGGATCCTGGTCTCGGGCTCTGGCTCTGGTTGGACGGTCTCGGGCTCTGGCTCTGGCTGGACGGTCTCGGGCACTGGCTCTGGCTGGACGGTCTCGGGCTCTGGCTCTGGCTGGACGGTCTGGAAGTACATACAAATGGAGGGCAGGAAGTGATTTGCTTTATTTAGAAAGCACTGTAACAAACTAAAATGCCTGTGTTTTGAGTCATTTATGGTTACTTGAATCGATCAAACCACAAGGAATTTTTATCGTGTACCAAAAGTTGTTGTTCATAAGGGGGGAAAATTCAATATATATATTCTGTATATTAATAATATAATATTTTTTATATATACTGTATATTAATAATATAATTAGGGCCCGAGCACTAACAGTGCGAGGACCCTATTGAAACTGTTAGGATTATTTTTTTTTTCTTTTTTCTTTTATGGGCCCGAGCACTAACAGTGCGAGGACCCTATTGAAACTGTTAGGGTTTTTTTTTTAGGGCCCGAGCACTAACAGTGCGAGGACCCTATTGAAACTGTTAGGATTATTATTATTTTTTTTTTCTGCAAAGTAAGTGCCATTTTCGGGGCCGCAACATGCTCAAAAACTCACCAAATTTGGCACGCATGTCAGGACTGGTGAAAAATTTCGTATTTTGTGGGTTTCGCGGATGGGCGGGGCAAAATGGCACGCTAGCGCCACCTAGAAAATTGGAAAAAATTAGCCCCTCGTCCACGTTCAACCTACATGCACGAAATTTGGTGGGGACGTGTATCATATCAAGACGCACAAAAAAGCCTCAAGAACCCATACCCTAAACTCGACAGGAGGTCCGCCGTTTTGAATTTGGCGGCCATTTTTGGACGATTTACAGACTCCGTACTTTAACGAACTCCTCCTAGGGATTTAGTCGGATCGACTTAAAATTTCTGCTGTGCCTTCTAAAGGCATTGACGATGTAAAGTTGTGCTATCTGCGCGTTTTCGTCGATGGGCGTGTCCGTGGCGTCGAAGATTCGCCATGAAACAGGAAGTTGTAGTAACTTGGCTGTAAATGCCCAGATCTGCACGAAATTTTACACATTTGACAAGAGTCCCGCCCTGAACAAATCTACATGCCGACATTCACCCACAGTCATAGCGCCACCTGCTGGCAACAGGAATTGGACTTTAACGAAGCAGCCCCCGCCGCTTGTTTGACCTACATGTACGAAATTTCTGTGGTACATCTACCATGACCACACGCACAAAAAAGCCTCAAGAACCCATACCCTAAACTCGACAGGAAGTCCGCCATTTTGAATTTGGCGACCGATTTGGGACGATTTACACACTCCGTACTTTAACGAACTCCTCCTAGGGATTTAGTCGGATCAACTTCAAAATTCTGCTGTACCTTCTAAAGGCATTGACGATGTAAAGTTGTGCTATCTGCGCGTTTTCGTCGATGGGCGTGTCCGTGGCGTCGATGATTCGCCATGAAACAGGAAGTTGTAGTAACTTGGCTGTAAATGCCCAGATCTGCACGAAATTTTTTTTACACATTTGACAAGAGTCCCGCCCTGAACAAATCTACATGCCGACATTCACCCACAGTCATAGCGCCACCTGCTGGCAACAGGAATTTGACTTTAACGAAGCAGCCCCCGCCGCTTGTTTGACCTACATGTACGAAATTTCTGTGGTACATCTACCATGACCACACGCACAAAAAAGCCTCAAGAACCCATACCCTAAACTCGACAGGAAGTCCGCCATTTTGAATTTGGCGACCGATTTGGGACGATTTACACACTCCGTACTTTAACGAACTCCTCCTAGGGATTTAGTCGGATCAACTTCAAAATTCTGCTGTACCTTCTAAAGGCATTGACGATGTAAAGTTGTGCTATCTGCGCGTTTTCGTCGATGGGCGTGTCCGTGGCGTCGATGATTCGCCATGACGTGCAAAAACTTAACCCCCGCTTTGACTGTCGAAGAGAAGTGTGCTGAAGAGCTTGCATCAGTGAGGGCTTTGCAAAATATATATACATACACACAGACACACACACACATATATATATAAATGAGGTTAGTGTTTTACAATATTAAGGAAAGCAAATATATTGAAATATAGCACACGAATTTTAAGTTCATTCAGCTTCAATTACCAATTTGTAGTTTACCAATTTATCTTACTTTTATTTAAAGCAAACTATACATTTAAAAGATTAGGGTTCTATGCATATTTTGTCATTGAAAAAAATACAAAATTGTTATGCAAAAATATAAGGACTTGCAGGAAAAATCTACAGTCAGCCACACACACACACACACGCACACACACACACAAACACACACACATAAACACAGACACCAGCAACCCCCCCCCCCTCCCTCCTCACAGACACTGATAGAGACAAGATACACATCCAAAACTACAATATCTGACTTTCTTTCGGTCTGAGCTTCTTACTGTTAATTAGAGAGTTGATCGGCTTGACAAGAACAATATACGTGGCATGTTTTGTAACTGTAGGTAAAACGAGCAAAGTTATAACACATTTTATGTGTCCTTTTTCAGTCATAAAATTCATTTCCTCGCCACGGCCAAACCGTTCGAGAAATCAAACATCCGTACGGAATTGAGCATCCTCAATGTCTTGACTTCATGCACACCGATTATGGTGGTGATTGGTAAACACATGCGTTGTAATTTGATGTATTTCTCCTAGGAGATTTATTCAAACAACCCATAATTCCCAACTTCCATTTGAACTGTCTTAAAACTTAGAGCATGAAAGTTGCAGAGATGGGACCAAGTCACACATGTGCAAGTCTCAAGTAAGTTTCAAGTCTTAACCGTCAAGTCTCAAGTAAGTCCCAAGTATTTTTTGGGAGGGGGGGCAAGTCAAGTCACAGGCTATGTCAAGTCAAGTCAAGTCTTGTAGTAGGTTAAGTCAAGTCACCTTATTATTTTAATTTTACATGCAGAATCTGATCTTAATAAAGTGAAAAGACAAGATAAGTATTTGCCAGTAAATTACAATAATTTGCATTGTAAATACTCATGTTTAGTAAAATACACCATGGAATCAAACAAAATTGTAACTTCATAAAATTATTTATTTTTCACTTCTGCCAACAGTGTGTTTGAAATGTTTTAAATTTTCAACATTGAGTCCATAAAACAAATAACAGCTTAACATCCTACAGACTCTCTGAACACCTCCCTCTCTCTCAAACACAGTTTACGAACAATATTAAACTTTGTTACATTTCTCCTCTCTCTCTCTCTCTCTCTCTCTCTCTTTCTCTCTCTCTCTCACACACACACACACTTTCTCTCTCAAGAAGCAAAAACATGACTGTTAAAGGTTGTATCAGCGATGGCGGGGTAACATCATTTCTGTTGATGTTCAAACAAAACAGAGAGCTAGCTGGCTACTCCCTCCCATGCAATTGAAACTCTTCTAAACGTGCATCTATGGTCATCAGTTTGGTTTGAAATGGACAGAGGCGCATTCGGAAGGGCATTTGGGTACAATGACGCAGTCATTTACTTTTCTCTTTTCATGTTTTGAAAGACGATGTCCTGTAGCTTACTAATTTAAAGAAATAAAAATGTATACAAAAATGAGATGATGTCCTGACTTGTTTTATGAAAAAAGCCTTAAGTTTTCAAAGAGCATTAGAC